TTTAAAAGTAATATTTACTAATTGGTAATTAGACTTATTTAAAGGCTGTTGTTTTGCTCCCATGTTGGTGTGGTAGGTCAAAGAAGATGGCAGATAATAATGTTGAGTGCCTATTGTGAAAGGAATTGAACCCAATAATCCTTCTTGAATCTGAGAAAAATCTGGGAAAAATCACGGGTGCTTTTCTGGGGTCCCACTTTATTCTCTAAATACAATGCAGTGCAAAGGTGATTCACTCATTAAGAGATATATCAAATTTTCATGATTTCTTTTCAGTTAGTGGATACCCACCCAGCATTTCTTTAATTTCATAAATTAGTCATCAAAATGCTTGTAGCACTGTGCCATGATGATTTCAGGCATTCTCTTCAACCTTGTTTTCCTTTCCTGTAAATAAACTTTGGTGTGGTGGGAAGTTTGTGTGAATTCTGTTTTGATGTACATCTAATTTAAGTTAGAAAAGGGTAGAAGTGAGGTTTGAGAAAAGAGGCCAAGTGGATGGCAAAATGTAAGAGAAGTTAGAGGTACCTGTAATCTTCCCTTTTTAATTTCTGGAACTTTTAAACTTATAAGAAAAATAAATGAAGTGACACAACAACCACAGACGTTCTACCATCTTGGATTAACAAGTATACATATTTTGTTTTAATTGCTTCAGATATATGGAAAGAAATTTCCATGTAAATTGAAGTCCATTTTGTCCCCCTTTCTAATCTAATCCTTTTATCTGTGTGCCCAGAAAAAAATCACTGTCATAAAGCTGGTATTCTTTCTTCTCGTCTATGTTTCTGTGTTTAGTACATTTGGATATCTTCCAAACAACGAAGAGCTTTATGTTATCATATTGTGCATTTCTTTATCATACAGCATGTTTTCTTTTTTGCACCTGGAATTTTGAAGTCAGCAGCTTTCCACTTAAATCTTTTTATCCGGATACAGATGAATTTCCACTGTAGAAGGTGAAGATTGTTACCTTAGCACCCTAAGTGACCTTTCTGTGCCTACTGACATGATTCTTTGTTCCCTGGTTTTAATACCTTCAGGTTGATAGGCTTAGGGAACACAGGCTGGTTACCTTCATACATTTCTAATGTAGTCATTTACAGATCATCTCTTTTTTTCAGTTTGAAAGATAAATTTTACAAGATGTTAAAAACTTATATTGCTTTTCCTATAGATTGCCAAAGAACATTTACATTACAGTCCCAAATTTCCTGACCTCCTTGAGAGATAAAGGAACTGTAAATAAATAATATTAAATCCCTCTTTATCTTAGAAAATAGTAAAATGGTA